AACGAATAAAATTTAATTTTTTATGTTTTTGTAAATTTTCTATTCGGCGACGTACGAAATTGTGACATACGAACGTCGCATATTAGTGCCCGAGTTGGTAAATAATTAAAATTTTTGAAAAATTTTTGGTCTGTGACTAAATTATTAATAAATTGAAGACTACTACTATTAGGTCAATGAAACTGCAATTATTACTCGAAACAATTCCGCATAAAAACCGCATAACACTATTACAATAACGACTAACATATATTTTTTTATGTTTGTTTTTGTAAATTTTCTATTCTGCGACGTACAAAATTGCGACATACAAACGTCGTATATTTTTGGAGAGTTGGTAAATAATAATTTTTGGAAAATTCTTGTTCTTTGACTAAATTAATAAATTAAAAAAACTATTAGGTGAAAAAAAAGCGGTGCGTAACACTATTCGAAATGTGTTCGCATATTGATACATTTATGCGAGTTTTATATGGATATGCGATTCGTAACTATGCGAAAATATAACGCATAAGCGATAGTAATCTAAGCCTTATAGATTTGGATATGCGAATCGTAAATTATGCGAACATATGCCGCATAGTCGCATACTCATAAATGATGCAGTTTGGATATGCGATAATCTAATTACGCGACAGTTTTCCACATATCCTAAATGATGATGCGGTTGATCTGGCCTGGATATGCGATTAAAAAATATAAATTACTTTTACTTATTTTTTTCATTACGTTATGCGAAAACAATGCAATCATCGCACTTTGTTCACAGTTCTGCGAATTTCCTTTCAATAATATTTTCCCTTCGAATATTGTCGCTGATTTTGCTGGGAAAACTCTGTTCACGGACATTAATAGTTTAATTGTCCATGCAACATATTGTTTTGTTTTGACATATGAATCATGATTAAACAAACACGTACTTGACAGAAGAAAAAAATATTTATTATTACTGCAGTCAGTCCAAACAAAATAAGCCAAACAACTTTTGATTACATGTCCAGTGGATTCTAAGGGTCGAGATCGATGACTTCCAAGTCTATCGCCGCTGCGTTGCGCTCGGAAAAAACCTCGTAACACTCACCATACCAAGGAAATCCTTCCGAACAGAAAAATGCCTGAGTGTCGGTCTCTTGTGTAATAAATTTAAATCTTTTTAGTTTATTATGGCCGCGTCAGAAAAATGCATGCTTGAACAAACTAAAATAAAAAATCAGATGCAATTTACCTCCTCCCCCACATACACCCAGTACATGTGGTTAACCCTAGCAAAGCCTGTATCACGACATAAGAGGACGCCTGGAATCATCAGGAAAGCAGTAAATTCATCGAAATAATTTCTGAGTCGCTGAATCTTTCACCGGACTTGAGAAATAGTAAACTCCCTCTTAAATGCATAACTCGGGCATTGGTTCAGGACTATTGAATTTCTGCCCACAAGGAATTGAACACATGGCCTTTGTGTATGTCTGCCTTCTGACGACACCATTTGAAAAACACTAGGTAGCAAATACGTTCTTCCTCCTCTGTCCAGTCCATGCCACGGAAGCGGATCGTGATCTTTTCATAGGGTGAAATCCTTTCCATTTTTTTTTTCGCAAACGTGCGCCTCCTTGGTTTTTTTTTGTTTTTTTAGCTGCGATGGAAAGATAGGGTTTTGAGAAGTGAAAGGTCGCCTCTTCAACAAAGAGAATGAAAGGTTAATTAATACATTTAGCATTTAAGGCTAGGTAGATATACATCAACTCAACAACTAAATGAGGAAGCATGCAAATCGTCATTGTTTCTTAGGTGTAAAAGCAGACAATCAATCAACGCGGTGCGTAACGTATGTGAATAATATGCGAAGCACTTTCGATTTTGATATGCGGTGCAGACAATCAATCAATGCGGTCTATATGGATATGCGAAAAAAATGGCGGATAATCGTAAATTATGCGGCTTTCGATTTGGATATACGATTCGTTAATTATGCGGTTGAAGACTAGGCGAATCATACCAGTTGTGCGATTATTATGGGATATGATATGGGAATCGCACAATCAACCCAATTGTGCGATTATTATGGGACATGTTATGCGAAGCGCACAATGAACCTAATTGTGCGATTATTATTTTACATGTTATGCGAATCGCACAATCAACCTAATTATGCGATTATTATGCGACATGTTATGCGAAACGCGCAATCAACTCAATTGTGCGATTATTATGGGACATGTGTGATGTGTTCAGGTCAACCCAATTCCGATTTCGACAATTGTACCTGGATTACGAACATATGCTTCTCATTGACCTCTTTGTCTTCGTCGCCTGAGTCACCATTGTGCGTGTTGGTTTGGTCATCATTATTGTCATCGTCACGAGAATGACCTGGTTGGTTCGAACAACCCGAGGTTTGATCATCAGCGCCCCGAGGATATCCAGTATGTGTAAATGAACTAGGGCCTGCTTGATGTGAATATGGGGCCTCGTGGGAAAAATGCAGAACTACCAACACCAAAAGAACTCGGAAATACACCTTGGGACGCCATCATTTGCGTGAAGCTTTGTTGCGCCGTCCCCGGAATCCCTAGATTTACTCGCTTCTCCAACTCCACGTAAATGTTGAGATTTCTTTGTTCTTCAATCAACTCTAAGATATCCTCACTGGATTCGATTTTCATCTTCATAACTCGTTCCCTTCCATCAAATACTGCCCACAATATGTACTCAAAAATTACAAGGATTGGCCTTCAATAAGGCTTGAACACGAGAAACTACTTCAGAATACATTTGTCGGCCGTAATTTATTCTCATCAGCTCTACCACTCCACCAAGATATGAACCCTCGCAAAACGAACCACCAAAGTGCACCAATACTCTAACACGGTTGCTAGCCATTCAGATAAGTGAACAACAAAAAGAACTAAAAAAAAAGAAACAGAAAAATGCAGTAGATGAATGGTGCAGGCGTTAAATTGTTAGAGATCGCTGTTTTTTTGCCTGCATGATAAATGCAGAGACCAAATCCTCACCTATGAAAAAGCAGTCAATTAATGAGGTGCGCAACTTATGCGAAAGATCTGCGAACGAATTCCGAATAGTCGTAAAATTGCCAGGTCGATATGGCCCTGCAAAAAAAATGGCGCATAATCGTAAAAAAAAATATGCTTTATTCGATTTGGTTATGCGATTCATAAATATGCGAGCAAAAAAATGTCACATAATTGACAATTATCCAGAGGATATATGCGAAATTGTTTCGCATATTAGTAAATTATGCGATTGACTTGGATATGCAATTACTAAAAAATGCGTATTCAACAAACTATGCGAATTAGATGTGAAATATTTTCGCAGTCATAAATTTACAAGGTTGATATAGCCCTGTGATAAGAAGGCGCATAATCATCGTAAATTATGCTGCAATCGATTTGTATATGCGATTATTAAAAATGCGAAAAATGTTCGCACATTTCTAATCTATGCGTTTGATGTGGATATGCGATTCAATGCGAAATGTTTACGCATTGTCATAAATTATGCGGCCGATTGGATATGCGTTGGTTCATTTGGACATGCGAATGTAATATCGCATAGCATTTCGTGAGTTTTGGGGTGTAAAAGAAGTTATTTGATGGGGCGGTGTGTAAAAGAAAGAATAGATTTATAATGGGGTGAAAAAAATTTGACCCTTTAATTTTTGGGGTGGATGGGGAGATTCTGAACGTAAATTGTAGGTTTGGAGGGGTAGTGATGTGGGCTTTGCATTATCTAATTTTATGTATTATTTAACATGGACTAGGTCCATTAATTTGAAATGAATGGAATAAAATGACTCAAATTACCCAGCCCAATCTATTTAATGTATATATTATTTCAGAGACGGGCTAGCCCGCGGCCTGTCCCGCCAAAGCCTGCGGCCCGCGTGTACCAGCCCGTTTAGGCCCGCTCTTTAGCGGCCTAGAAAATATCAACCCAACCCACCCTTCTAGCGGGGCGGGGCGGGTCGGCCCGCGGGCCTAGACCCGTTTTGACAAGCCTAATTATCAATCAACGTGGACAATATTTCTTTCACAATTATGAACATGAAGGGGGATAAAAGATCCCCTGCCTCAAGCCTATTGAAGGTGTGATACAACCACAAACATCCCATTGATGATGAAAGAATAAGAAGTAGTACAAATACAAGCAAAAACCCATTGCACAAAAGTTATCTCTTGAGATAGTTATCTTTGATTTCCGAACTAGCTAAACCATTGTACTATTGAAACTCCAACCGACAAGCCAATCGAGTACTTCGGAGCTATGCGAGTTCTAGTGATTGGTATGATGTGCATATCAAATTGGGTCAAGCAAGACGTGGCCAACTGTCGGGCCCCGACCCGGCCTGGCCCGGCCCGCAGGGTCGGCGGGCCTCAGTCTCATGGCCCGTGACCGGCCCGTCCATTTATATGGGCTGGTTCCATGAACCGGCCCTGAATCGGCGGTTCACGGGCTGGTACGACCCTTTAAAAAAAATTAACAATGTGCCCGTCACCCGACCTGGCCCGGCCGGACTGACGGGACAAAAGAAAAAAGTATGAACCGTGACCGAACCGCAATCTTAAAGGTCCGGTTCAGGGACGGTTCGGGCCTGGTCAGGACTGGTTCACGAGTCGATTCGGCCAGTGAACATGTCTAGGTCAAGCTCAGTTTTGATCGCCAGGCTGAATTGAGAGAGTACGGCACCTGTCCTTTCGGTGGCCATTAATTCAAATATTGGGTCACCATTTGTCCACGCAGTTTGAGGGATGATATCTCACAGTTTTATCCCTTTCCTGTGATAACACAACCTTCTGCTCCCTCTGTTTCTTATCTTTTCCATCTTAAAAAAAAAAACAAATAATAATTATAAATAAAGATATAGAAATTCAAATTAACAATACAACAACATATAATTATAGCAGCTTCTTTCTTTCTTTCCTTTATTTCAAAATTCCAGTTACAAGGGAAGCTCTGAGAGAGAATATAAATCAGAAATGGCTACAGTTCCTCTCCACGCGAGCCGCACTCTACCTTCGTTACTGAATGGCCCAACACCCCGAAAACCTGCATTTTCTCACTCTCTTTCGCTTTTACCAAAATCAGCTCAGCCTCAATTTCATGGCCTCAAGCTCTCCACCTCTTCCCACCTCTCAATCACTTCTTCTGCTCCTGCAAAATTTTCAATCGTTGCCAAGGTAACAGAAGGGACGATACCACCGGCGTTTACATTGAAAGACCAAAGTGGGAGGACTGTAAGCCTTTCTAAATTCAAAGGCAAGCCTGTAGTTGTTTATTTCTATCCTGCTGATGAAACCCCTGGCTGCACCAAACAGGTTGGACTTTTTACATAGTATTATCCCCTTTTTTCATGCATTACTTATTGGGTAGCTGAAAGTTGCTCGGAAACCCTGTTGATCAAAATATTTGTTCTTTGCGCTTATGTTAGTTCCATTTTGGAGCACCATGGAATCATTATGTGCAACCTTGTAATTTAGTACATTTTCTTGTTTAGCTTGCCTCAAGTGATGTAACATATATGTAAACTTGGTCAGCAGCAGGCAGCCGATCTTTCTTATGTGTTAAAACGGGTTGTCGGGAAAAAGTGTTGTCGACAGCAATATGGAGTACATTAAAGATTCTATGAGTTAGGAAATTAAAGTTTATGGGATACTAACATATTTCATGACATATCGGAACGATTTAGAGTATGTTTGTTGATGTTTTAGATTGTAATTGCGTAACTGTGAAAAAGGGGTAATGTTTATCATATGTGATTGGTTCTAGAGAGATTTGTGTTTGTGTGTAAGGCTTATCAACAAATTTTAGGTGACTTTTTTGTGTAGATTTAGGAGGTTTGGAACTTAAATTATAATTCTTAAAATACTTTTTTATTTGGTAACGAAATCTAACTTTCAAAGAAAAACTTGTATGATGTTTTGACAAATGAGCAAGAATTGTTAGGCCCTGAATTGTTCAATGTGAGGGTGTTATGGGTTTCCATTGATTTTCTTTTGGTTTCTCTCACACTGATGATTTTCAATGAAAAGCCTTGTGGCTGTGTTGGATAGATTGGAACTTGAGGATTGTGACCATAATTGTCCAATCTCCAGGATGTACAATGCTTGTTTATAGCACCCTTTGTCAATTTCTTGAAGAAACCTAGCTTCTCAAATATTTTCACGAATATTATGCATTATAACTTGATTCGGTCGAGGACCTTTCCTCAGCCATGTAATTATACAATGAGTTGATTCTTCTTGATAATCATATGTTTGAACGCTTGATTTCTCAGTGATAAAACTGTTTCCATTAAGTGAACTGTATAGTGGATGGTAATGTTTTTGCGAACTTTAACTTGATACGTCGTGTTTGATCAAAAAGTTGTAAGAAGTCTGACTATGGCTTGTAGGACAAAAATCTTTGCAGTGTTTTTCTTAAAACACAACGGGGCTTCTTTCTGTTGGTCTTTATTTCAGCCATGATATGCAGACAAATAGTGGCAAACATGACCTAATTATTATTATTATTATTTTTTTTTTCCTTCCTTTTCTTTATAACAATTTACTCTTCAATGGTTCCACCTTTTTTTACACTTTTACAGGCATGTGCCTTTAGGGACTCTTATGAAAAGTTCAAGAAAGCAGGTGCTGCGGTTGTCGGAATCAGCGGGGATGATTCATCATCCCACAAGGTATCAATTTTTACATTGTTTCTTGGATTTTATGATTTATTATTATTATTATTATTATTATTATTATTATTATTATCAACTTTGAGTTTTTTTTTTTTATATATTTTTTTAGTTTTTAGAATATTACCTATTACCTTTGGCAATTTCAAATGCCCCATTTTTTTTGTAAAAATATTATCCTCATTCAAGAGAAGAGTATTTGTTGAGAAACTAAGCGTGATTGGACATGGATTTGATTGATTTTTTATTAGTTTTTTAATCATAGTTAATTTGGAAAAAGGTCGCATGATTAGTTTTTAGTGGGAATTAATGTTTAAAGTAAATTAATGTTTAAAATAAAATTTTGAAAGTTGATTTGATTTAAAAGTAGGAAAAAAAATAATTGAAAATAATGGTTAGTTAGAATTACATAACTGGATGAATAATGAATTAAAGTTGATGCGATGTGTAAAAATGATTAGTTAATATTATTTGATTAAATTAATAACATTGAAGATAGTGGGGCTATAAAAAAGTTTACTTAAATTTGAGTTTTGGTTGGTTTTTTTTTTTT